GGGCCAGTCTTGCCCGACGAGTAGGGCGGCAAAGACTTGCTGGACGATGTCAGCTTCGTGGACCACGACTCCTTTGTACCGTCGTAGCGAACCATGTACATGTCGTAGCACGGAACGGCCGGGCTAGGACCGCCACCACACAGGTTGCTCGGGTTACCACAGTTGAGGGTGCCACCACCCTCAGCATCTCTCGTGCCGAGGATCACGAAGCCGTTCTTGTCGGCGTAGATGTCAGCGAAGTCGTGCAGCGGCACCTTGACGGCAGGGCTGCTAGCCACGAGCTTGTCGTTAGCGTCGAGCTGACGAACAATGATGCTGTCGCCGCTCTGGAAGGCGACACGCGAACCACCGCCGGGGATAGCAGCGATGGCAACCAGCTTGAGAGCAGCTTCGTCCTCGTTGGCCTCAACAGCAGCACCGACATCAACATCCGTGATCTGGATGCGCGGCTTCGCGCAGAAGCCGTTCTTGGTGGTGCCTGCAGCCTCAAGGCCGCTCGTGCAAGCAGCAAGAAGGGCAACGGTGGTAGCCATCAGAACGTTGTACAGACGCATGGTGTTTAGATGTGGTGGCTTGAAGTGGACTGTGCTTTCGTTGGGTAAATTGGAAAGTGAGTCCCAGTTGGGACAGCTCGACAGCCACTTTTAAGTTGACCGTGTTGACCCTCTTCGTCCAAACGATGGGATCACAGCAGGAAAGATAACCAGACTCCAGATGGAGTGGCGTACCTTTGGCCAAGTCCTGGTAATGTACCATGCTTCATCAATTTCGAGGTGTCTTTTGTGGGATCATCAAAATGGAAGGGCGTTCCAGAGGGTGCAAGGAAGGCGTCGTCGGCAAAAAGTAGCTGGAACTTTGTAATGAACTACACTTGTGGTTTAGCGACGTTTAGGCCAGGCTTCATTACTGGTATGCAAAGATAGAATGCAAAAAAAGAATTGCTGACAGTGAGTCAGGCCCTAGAATTGATTACATTCTGTGAAAAGACGTTCACAATGCACGATCGGGGTAAACTATTTATGCACACTCACATCAAGAACTGAAGGCATCGTTTTTCGCTGTTTGTGGCCCTACGCCTTCTTCATTCCCAGGTGTCCCAAAAGCCCGATGACCACTCGCCAGATTTGAACGAGACTTTGGCGGATCGGACACCGGAAGTTGCAGGCTGCAACTTGCAACTTACAGCAGGAAACGCAGTGCAATATATAAAAAAACTTCACATCGGATTTACAGTTTTAAACCTGATCCGAATTATGGAGTTATAGCGCGTCGCAATAGTGTAGTTACAACAAACTGTCGCTGCTAAGAGGAGGGAGAAGGAAGGATCGAGGCATTTCAATCGAGGGTTTTAGCCTGGGAGATGTTATACGTAAGGTTATTGTCGGCATCACATTCTGAGACGTCGTAGTAGTAGGACTTCGCAGGTACTGCGTGTACCACTTCGGCCGGACTTCAACTACAACCGCATTGTGCGTGCAGGTCAATTGGTGCAGCTGGTACACTACTCAATCCACAGAGGTGCCATACAAAGGCTTTCAGCTAGTTGTAACCGCTCGTAAGTAGAAATTTCCTGTATGCCATGTACGTGGTACATGTAGCAATGTGCCAACCAGGAAACTCCACGTCATCACTACTCAAATCAACCCCTCGAAATGTCCTCGTGGCGATGAGTTCTCGCACTACGGTATATGTTATACATGAACCAATAGTTATTGTGTTTTAGCTGACACAAGACATCACTGGTACTGCTGCGGAGCTAATAAAAATGCATTAAGTGATGTTGCTCTAATAGACTTTTATCGTTCGTCCTTGTGTAGCGATCATTTGCTGTAAATCAACAACTGATTAATGGAGAGTATTATCACCTGACGCTATTTTAATAAAAGAGTTACTGTAATTTCTTGAAACGTTTGTGGACAACGGAAGGCATTAATGCTGTCCGCATGGTTCATGGCCATCAGTTCGCAAATTGCTTCCGTTTTTCAGCCTGCTGCGAACACGGAGACCAGCCGTACGAGTCGTACGTCCCTTACTTTTTGAAGTCGACTGTTCACGATCGGTCGACGACATGAGTCAAATAATACTGTATTGGCACTAGAAGACGTAGCTTTCAAAAGGGGGGGGGGGGGGGGCTTCTAGGAAGCTATGAAGTTCGAGCAACACTCCAACACTCGATAATATAGGATTGCTTGTCCGTCTTGCTTCCACCAAAGTTTGCCACATATTGGCATCTGTGGTGTGGTGCCGCACCGCATACTCTAGAGTCTTGAGTATGCGGTGCAGACGTCTTGACTCAAGACGTCCGACCGTCCCAACGCGCGCTACGTTTACGTCGCATGCACTGATGCATGTCAATCTTTCGTGATCTGAAGAGTGACATATGCTCGAGGAGAAAGGGGCAACTTATGGTTGTTGCTCAACCTGATAGACTGCTAGATCAAGTTCAATACGAAGGGGTCGTTGTCACCCTTGTTCCAGCTGGAGCTCATGAACTTTGCACGGTAATGTCCTCCTCACACAAGGACGATTGTCCGTAGTGGCGGTGACCCGAACGAAATGCGTCAGTCTGCTTGTTCCTCATTTTCCAATTGGCCTTCTACAGCAACAACCTCCTCGGTTCACTGCAAGACCAAGAAATTACCAACCATGCGTCTGTATCACGTGCTTCTCGCTTCTGCTGTCGCACTCCTCGCTACCAACGGCTTCGCCGCTGCCGACGAGAAGTGCACCATGGTGACCCCGGAACCTGAAGTGCCCGTGCCTGCCGGCTCGTCGTCGCTTACCAGCGACGTGTCCAGCGGCTCTGGCGCCCCGGTTACCCAAGACTCCACTACCGCCTCGGATGTCGGTGCCAGCCAGGAAACTACCCCCGAGAGCCCGGTGCAGCAGTACTCCAACCCTGGCTCGGATGCCGGTGCCAGCCAGACGTCCCCTTCGGGCCCTGCTTCTGCTCCATCCAGCGTTGACGCCTCGCAGAACAGCGAGGACCCGTCGCAAAACGACGATGACCCGATGCAGGTCGAGATGCCGTCCACCGTTGACGCCTCGCAGAACAGCGAAGACCCGGCCCAG